CCCCCCCTGCCTCCCCTACCTCGTGATACAGGTGAACAAAACCAAGAAGTGGCGGGAGCTGTCTTCCCACCTGAACATGGGTGCCTCTAACAGCGTGGCCAGCTCCCTGAAGAAGCACTACATTCAGTACCTATTTGCCTTTGAGTGCCAAGTGGAGCGCGGGGAGGAGCCCCCGCCCGAGATCTTCGCCGCAGCCGACTCAAAGAAGCAGCAGACGCCCAAGATCCAGCCGCCATCTCCTGGTAAGGAGTGGTACTGTACGTCACTGCTTTACTAATGCAAGTGTTTGATTCTAATGGGTAATTTTTAACAGATTCTCCATTGCTGGACGTCAGCTAAGGTAACATTGAGCATAATCTTTGGTTTTTCAAAGAAAAGTAATATGCTCCCTCCCCCTTAATATAATTCAGTCCAGCCTTTTCAGCATATGAATTCTTTTAGCATGCTAAATATTTCTGTCCCCATTGCTTCTTGGTGTTTGTAATTCTCTGTAAAACGGGAATGAGAGGCAGCGGATGAAACGGGGGCTTTCCACTGTGTCTGTGTTTACTGTCAGTCCCCCTAGTAATGCCGTCAGTGTATATTATACACCCCATTCTGTCCTCTGACCACCAGGGCTGTTTGTGGCCCCCTCTTGTCTTTACGCCTTCTTGTTTTCCACATGAAAGGTCCCTCTTCTGCATTTCCTTTAACCCATATCCCATAATGCACTATCTATGCTGGCAGGGGAGGTGGCCAGCACCATGTGACTAAGGTTATTAATAGCTGGCAGGCTGTGATGTAACAATGGGGTGGGGGGTATCCGGAATGCAGTGCCAGGAAGGGGTGGAGCTTAGATGAGTTAAATAGCAGTGACCTCCTTTTGACTTCTGTCCATAAAGCAGGCCAGTAATGGTTCCCCCCCCATCTCCGGATGTGTGGGGGAGGGGGTTTGAGTTCACGGCGCGCTGTTGTCCACGGTGTAGGGAAGCACTTAACCCCATGTAACCCCCACATTGTTTACATTTGGAGACTGAACATGTGAAGGCCGGCAGGCAGTCAAGAGGATCCCCCCTCCTGGATCCCTTCCCTCTCTCACTGCTCCCCCCCCCCCCCCCCTGCACCCCCCACCCCACCCTTACGGGCATGATGTGTTCATGTCATATGACCCCTCTATTAGAGACCTAAGGCATGGAGTTTTTAGTTGCAGTTCACATAGGTTGTGTTTTTCTAATTAATCTAGAATTACCCAGCCCAGCCCCTCACGGCCTCAAAAGGCTGACACAATTCTTTTACCCGGTGACAACTTTGAAGGAGCAATTCCCTTCTCCCCCAGCCCTGTCCCAGTTACCCCCCCCACTCCTGTGCTGCTGCAGCCCTGAGACTCTGCCTGATGGTCCTGCCTCATGTAGCCTGATTTTGTGCTGTGTTTTGTGGCAGTGGATATTTGTGCTAATCTGTTGGCTGGTCTCACCATTTTTTGTGAAGAATCCCTGGGAGCGAGTCAGTGTGAGCTAGAGAGGGACACAAACATCAATATACACTCACCTAAAGGATTATTAGGAACACCTGTTCAATTTCTCATTAATGCAATTATCTAATCAACCAATCACATGGCAGTTGCTTCAATGCATTTAGGGGTGTGGTCCTGGTCAAGACAATCTCCTGAACTCCAAACTGAATGTCAGAATGGGAAAGAAAGGTGATTTTACGTGCATCTCCTCTGGTTCAACAAGTAGAGCATTGTGCTAATGACACAAAGGTTGTGGGTTTGAATCCCAGGGAATGCACATTAATTGTAACCCTTCAAGTGTCAGGTAAATTATTCTATAGAATATATACACTCACCTAAAGGATTATTAGGAACACCATACTAATACGGTGTTTGACCCCCTTTCGCCTTCAGAACTGCCTTAATTCTACGTGGCATTGATTCAACAAGGTGCTGAAAGCATTCTTTAGAAATGTTGGCCCATATTGATAGGATAGCATCTTGCAGTTGATGGAGATTTGTGGGATGCACATCCAGGGGACGAAGCTCCCGTTCCACCACATCCCAAAGATGCTCTATTGGGTTGAGATCTGGTGACTGTGGGGGCCATTTTAGTACAGTGAACTCATTGTCATGTTCAAGAAACCAATTTGAAATGATTCGAGCTTTGTGACATGGTGCATTATCCTGCTGGAAGTAGCCATCAGAGGATGGGTACATGGTGGTCATAAAGGGATGGACATGGTCAGAAACAATGCTCAGGTAGGCCGTGGCATTTAAACGATGCCCAATTGGCACTAAGGGGCCTAAAGTGTGCCAAGAAAACATCCCCCACACCATTACACCGCCACCACCAGCCTGCACAGTGTTAACAAGGCATGATGGATCCATGTTCTCATTCTGTTTATGCCAAATTCTGACTCTACCATTTGAATGTCTCAACAGAAATCGAGACTCATCAGACCAGGCAACATTTTTCCAGTCTTCAACTGTCCAATTTTGGTGAGCTCGTGCAAATTGTAGCCTCTTTTTCCTATTTGTAGTGGAGATGAGTGGTACCCGGTGGGGTCTTCTGCTGTTGTAGCCCATCCGCCTCAAGGTTGTGCGTGTTGTGGCTTCACAAATGCTTTGCTGCATACCTCGGTTGTAATGAGTGGTTATTTCAGTCAAAGTTGCTCTTCTATCAGCTTGAATCAGTCGGCCCATTCTCCTCTGACCTCTAGCATCAACAAGGCATTTTCGCCCACAGGACTGCCGCATACTGGATGTTTTTCCCTTTGCACACCATTCTTCGTAAACCCTAGAAATGGTTGTGCGTGAAAATCCCAGTAACTGAGCAGATTGTGAAATACTCAGACCGGCCCGTCTGGTACCAACAACCATGCCACGCTCAAAATTGCTTAAATCACATTTCTTTCCCATTCTGACATTCCGTTTGGAGTTCAGGAGATTGTCTTGACCAGGACCACACCCCTAAATGCATTGAAGCAACTGCCATGTGATTGGTTGATTTGATAATTGCATTAATGAGAAATTGAACAGGTGTTCCTAATAATCCTTTAGGTGAGTGTATATTTGTAAATGAGGGGCATTTTGTAATATTTCTAAACAATATATGTCACAATGTAATATTAACATTAAGGTGTTACTTCTAAACAAAAACCTGTAGGTTTCTATATACTTAAATTTAGGGATGCACTGGTATGGGTATGGGTTCTGATAACGTGCTCATGTCCTCATGACCATGTGCCGATGCCTGTAACCAATACCATGTGATGACATATCAGCTATATCATTAATGAGCAAAATAAACAGGACAAAATATCTGTGGTGTGGAACAAGTTAACAACGAAATCCAAACCATAGTGGACTGCAGACTGTGCTCTACTGAACTATGAAGAGGAGAGTTCATACAACACTAGTAATCTAATTAAACATCTAAAAATTAAACAGTAGAAAGCGTTTGACCTGCAGTAAAACAATGCGACAACCAAACGTGCAGCAAGCACGAGCACAGAGAGAAGATGTCAAACGATAAACCTCGTCCAGTGAAAATAACAGCTCTTACCCAGTATGAGTCAGGCACAGTATCGTAATGGAGCTACACGGAGAGCATAATACTTTCAGGTGCTATGTGGTATAAAAAGTTTGTGAACCACTGCATTAGAGATTTTAGGGTGACATTTTTAAATCATAATTAACTTGCCGATCAACTGTTTTTCCACAGAGACTAAATACTATGATCACCATGACCACTATGATCAGCCCCCCTCACCTCCTGCATGGTGATTCTTCCCTTCACTAAGGGGACACGAGCGGCTCGGGGAGCCCGGAGCCCACATGCAGTGCTGACCACACCTCTGCCTGGTGTCCCCTCTCTCCCCCAGCTAACTCTGGCTCCCTGCAGGGCCCCCACACACCACAGTCCACAGGCAGCAGCTCAGTGACTGAGGCGGGGGGTGACCTGAAGCCGCCCACACCAGCCCCACCCACACCTGCTCCTCACACGCAGATGATCCCGCAGCAGGGTGGCAGGTAGGGGGCGCACAGGAGTCTCACCTTTTGCGGTTGTGCTGTGCTGTGGATTTAGTTTACTTCAATTCATTTCCGACAACCTTTGTGCTTTTATTTGCCAAAAACAACAAAATTACACATTTGCCTGATCAGGGTGAAACTGGGAGTTTCATACAGTTTCTGACAAACATCTGGGTACCAAGGATTTATGGGAAATGAGAAACGGATGGGTGTTATTAATAGGTAGATTTATAACACTGCGGGGTGATCTGTAGGGCGATCTCAGAAAAAGGTAAAGAGGTCTGCCAGACGCACTTTCAAAACACCGAGAACAAAATTCCATATTACGTTATCAACATATTTATGTCATAGATATCAAAACAATAAAACGAGGCATAAGCCAGTGTAAGCGGGCAACTCCCCACTCACCCCCTCTTTACCAAATACCCATTAGCAGGTGTGCAGGTAAAATCACAGCCAATGTGACGCATATACCCTTTAGCGTGAAACAATGCAAGTAAGTGCTACATGAATGTGACTCCAGCACCGATGTCGAAGTTCAGAATTTGCAGGATATGTAGCACGTCCATTAAAATTGTCCTTCGCTCATTAAAAGCTCCTATGCAGAAAGAGTGACTGACACATTTATCAGTATCTGTTACATGCATTTAACTTCCAGTTCCCCTCATAGTGAGTGTCTGTCTTCTCCCAGGAACAGCAGCACTGTCAGTGTGCAGGACCCCTTTGCAGAGGTCAATGACCCCATCTTCCAGAAATGCACTCCTATGAACCCTGGGGCACCTTACCACCCCCAGGGGGGCAACATGCCAGAGGCTGTGATGAGGATGCAGTATGAGGCCAACAAGGACCCCTTTGGTGCTGCAAGGAAGGGTGAGTCTCTTTTGGACCGTCCTTATACTGGGAATGACGCAGGAATAAGCAGGATGTGTGCTCTTCAGAGGCAGGGAGGACTTTACCCACTTCTAGCTTCTGGCGTAGTACAGCGAAATAAAATTCTGTCTCAGATTGAAACGTTGAGAAATCTCTGCTGTCGAGTCACCTGTACCCATCTGTGGTGGAGTGGTGCCCCCTAGTGGAGAGTAATGTTTTTTTTGTTTGTTTGTTTTAAATTTGATCGCTAAAGCCATAATTAAACCAGTTTGTAAAAAGTTGTGACTGAAGAGTTGCTCTTAGTACATCTCATTTATTTTCTAGATGCAGTTTTAACTGTATATTTTGCTCCTCAGTCTGCCCGGTCATTAGGAGCATCAAGAACACAGCTTACTGGGGACATTCTGCTCTTTATTTACGCTCCTCAGTCTTGCCTAATGGTTATATTTGGGAATGACTCTTACTTTGGGAATGACTGCCGATTTTAAGTGGAAACAGCATATCGACGTGAGCGCTCTCTCTGCAGGGATGGCACCAAGCGAGCACTTTGGGGATGGCCATATGGCCGGCAGCGGCATGCAGGAAGCATATGGCCGGGGGCCGCCTCCAGGGGCCATGCCTGCCCCGGGCGTGGGCCAGCGCCCCCAGTACCCTTACGGCCCCGGCTATGACAGGAGGTGGGTCCGCAGTAGAGTTTCACTGGAGCATTGCGTGCATTTATTTATTGAGCAGATGCAAAAAACAAGTGAGACTAATACCATGTTGGGCGTGGTATTAGCCATGAGAAGGGACCACCAAAATTATTATTATTTATTATTCATGATACTAGCTATATGAAGAATATAAGAACCTCACATTCATAATCAGTCTTGTGACCCTGAAATGATTTCAATATGATTCTTTCAGTATTTGACCAGTTTAGATCAGAGTTTTCCCATTAAAGATGTACTATTGTAAAATTGGAGAGCCAACTACACGTCAGTAAGATTAACTGGTACTTAAACAGGATTGTTTATTTTTTGAGTGTGGTTCCAGAAATTCAGCCAGCTGATCTACCAGTTCACAGTCTTTCTGGCACAAGTGCAGAATGAGAACTGGCCACCTATTGCTGCTGTCTAACCGGGCTTTTGTTTGGTGACTTGTGTTCCGCCAGACCGGACCATGTGATGGGACCAGAGGGGGGCATAGTTCCCCACCAAAGTCAGAACAACATGGTACCGTCTGCCAACGACTCGGGGTTGTATCCTCCAAACAGATACCCCTCCCAGCTGAGGTGAGGACCCATCCCCCTCTTTCGCAGCTCAGCGTCTTCTAGAAGGGCTTAAAACCAAAAATAATCAGCACAACTGGGCATATTTTTCACCTGAAACTTGACCCACTTTTATCCAGCTGCCTTGAGAGATTTTAGCAGCTCTGTGTCTCTCGTTGCAGACAGACCTTATTTACAGTGTCCTCATGGAGATACCAAGGCCTCTGGGTAGAACAGTTTGTCCCCTGGCTGAAATAGTCAACATAATTCCCTATAATGTCAGCATGCTCAGGGGGGGCTGGGCATCCAGCTGACCTTGAACCCGCAGAGGTTTATTTTTTTCTCCCTACTTGGGAGTTTGTGGTTCCTCTCCTCCACTGTCATCTGTCTTGTTTTATTTAGTTTTTTTTTTTTATTATTTATTTGCCTTCCCATTTCCCAGTTATTGAATTATTCTGTATAAATGATGCAGGAATGTATCACACCCATGTAAAGTGCCTGGGGGCAGCACTGTTGTGAAAGGAGCTATATACAAAATATAAAAATAAACTGAATGGAACATAATAGGCTCTGTAAGTGGTGAAATGTGGGAAAAGAAGCAGAGCCTGAACAAATCATGTAACACAAAGAACCAGAAGAATGATTCAGTCCCAGTCGCAGTCCCAGCCAGCTGTAAGAGCAGGCAAAGCTGTAACCTGTGCAGACTGTAACCTTTGTTTCAGTATCAGTGCTTTTGGTAAATAAAGGAATTTATTGTGACTGCATGTCCCATCAGGCACGAGGGCTACGGACAGCAGTATTCCCACGGCATGCCATACGGAGCCCATCAGCCCGGAATGTTCCCCCAGCAGCAGGTGAGAAGCAGGGCGTGGGGGAGCACTGTGCTGTCAGGGTCTGAGCCCCGCCTGTGCATGACCATGGATATGAAGTCTAAGTGCCACAGAGGCTGCTCTGCAAAGCACCGTCAGTGTGACTGAGTGCCGCCTCCTGCTCTAAGATGCCCTAAGGAGCTCAGGCTTTTTGTTGTGTCCCAAGAGTCGACTGATTGCTCATTTGTGTAGAAAATGTAACTTGGCTTTAAAAATTAGCTTCTAACTTGAAAGTAGCTCAAACCATAATTTACTGTCATCTTTAAAATGGTGGTAGTGTTTTTCAAACGACTTTAAATGGTCTATTAAAGGAAGGGATTATTGTTTGGCCAGACCTGGTTAGTAGAGGATCTTATAAGAAACTTGTATCATTTGTCTTAAAGTTCCTTTCATTGTCATGTCTGATTTATCAGAAATATAAGAAACCTTATTCACGAATTTATAGAATAAGTGCAACATTGATGAATTAGTGAAGTATTGATGGGCAAAAGTGAATCGCAGTATCTACAAATGATGGTGAAACAAGTGATGCTCTTTCAGTCAGTCCAGCTTTCACTCCCCTGCAGGGCTACAAGCGGCCAATGGAGGGGATGTACGCCCCCCCTGCGAAGCGCCATGAGGGGGATGTATATGCTGGGCCCTATGGAGGTCAGCAGTCAGATTCATATGGCCCCTACGGCAGCTATTCGGGCCCTGAACGCCGGCCCATGCAGAACCCCTTCCCATATGCTTATGGACGGGAACGCATGCCCCCCTCGGGCCCAGTGCCCCCACATGCAATGGGCTCTGGTGAGGGGCCCCAGCCCAGGATGTGGCCCTCCAGGACAGATGTGAACTACCCCTATCCATCTAGGCACGGTCAGGGAGTGACCTACCCTTTGGGCCGGGGGGATGAAGGTGAAGGTCTGCCAGGCCAGGACAGCTCGTGGTCCGGTGCCACTGGGCAGCGCCAGCCGTCTTTTCACCCCTCGGCCACCTCCCCCTCTTCCTCCTCTGGACCGATGCCCCATATGAGCACTAGGCCGCCGCCACCCTCGTCATACCAGACCCCCCCCGCCATGGCTGCCAGCCACATTCCCCGGGACCCCAGTCCTGCCCCTTTCCAGCGCTCTATGGAGGTGCATCCCTCCACCAGCAAGGGCCACTTTGTGGCTTCAGTAAAACCAGCCAAGCTAGGCATGCCTGTCCCCATGCCGGGGCCCCCCCCAGCTCCCGGGATGCCTGGCCAGGCTCCTCCTCCGGTCCTCCAGCGAGAGGTCAACTACCCCCCCAGTTCTGTGGAGGGCACACAGGCACTGCTGAAGCCACGTCGTAAGCTGACCTCCAAGGATACTGGTAGGTCCTGCCTGCTCTGTTACCCAATGTAAAAGTTTGTATCACCATAAACAGGCCATTTCCTCCTGCTGTGTTTAATCTCTATGCTGTTAGTGTTGTCCCGTGCATCCGAGCTGCCTCGTAAGGAGTGTGTAAGGCCTCATCAGTGCAGAAATAAGTTACAGCTCAGATAAGATGACTTTTGAGAGGAATTAATAGAGCCCAAAACAACATACAATAGTAGTGGCTTTGATTCCTGGAGATGCTGAGAAGATCCAGTTGGAGTAAAAGAAATTTTCTTTAAAAACTGCAGTTCTGCAGTGTTGTAAAGAAAGGAAATCAGAGATACTGTAATGGATAAGATCTATAATGTGGAACTGCATTGAGATAAATGATTTTCATATCATATGGCTGTGACTTGTCCTAGTGTGAATTCTGTGGAACAGGAAATGGTGGATAGGAAGCAGTAGAGAGTTGTGCTTGTTTGGAATGTTTGTCAGGGCAACTTACTGCAGATGGAAGACACCTTAATGTAGGATGAGAAACCACCTGCTGTGTAAGAGTAAGAAGGGGAAGATGCTGGAGGCCAATCTCATGGCACATAAGAATACTGAGTGAATTAAGTTACCTTGGTAGAGAAGTTTCAAGGGCAGGAATATAGCAATAAGGGAGTTTCTATAGCAGGCATTCTGGGATCAGCTGGGGTCAGCTGTTTGTAGGCGGGTTCTGTCTCCACTGAGCGTGTCAAACGGACAAGAGACAGGGAGTATTATAGGGGAAGAAATCACTTTGAACCTCTTTGTAGGAACCCCAGAGGCCTGGCGTGTGATGATGTCCCTCAAGTCAGGCTTGCTGGCAGAGAGCACCTGGGCCCTGGACACCATCAATGTCTTGCTTTATGATGATAGCACTGTGGCCTCCTTCACCCTCTCACAGGTAGGACTACATTGGGTGAGCCCTCAGGGGCCCTTCACCTGCATGACATCATAAACCTACTTCAGCATCTGTCTGGGAGTGATTTTCCTCCTTGATCCAAACAGGTTTGTTGATCTGTAGAGCGTGACCTCTGCCTTTTCTTTCACCCCTCCAGTTGCCTGGATTTCTGGAACTCATTGTGGAATACTTCAGAAGGTGCCTGATAGAGATGTTTGGGATTCTAAAGGAGTATGAAGTGGGAACACCCGGACAGAAGACCCTTCTGGGACCAGCACCAAGACAGAAGGAGGAGGATCCTGCCCACCTGGAAGAGATGGATCAATCTGAGGCAGAACTGGGAGAGGAGGATGAAGGGGCAGCAAATGATGAGGCACTTCTCAGTACCACTGAGGAGGCAGAGCCAGACAACATCAGGGAGGAGCCTCCAGGTGAACCACATTTAAAAGGGATGGATGAGGAAGAGCATGAGGAGAAGAGCAAGGACTTCTCAGAGGGAACATGTCCCCTGGAGCCCCGGCCAAAACAGGCTAGCAGGTATGACAAATTCCCACTGAAGGTGGAGGACAATGACTGGGATGGGCCACACGAAGACCTGCTAAATGGGGAGGGCTTCACCAGCGGGCTGCTGCACTGGCAGGCAGGTGGGGGGGACTCCACTGCCCACATCCAGACCCACTTTGAGAGAAAGACCAGCAGCCTGTGGGGCAGGGAGGAGGAGCCAGAACCAGCAGAGACCAGTGAGAAAACTTGCCACAACAGGGCAGCCTGGTGGCCACCAGTTTCCTTTGAGTTTGGCACCCTGGAGGATGAACCACGTTGCCGAGACGACGCCCCTCTCTCTGTTGCTGCCAACTGGCAAGATTCTCTGGCACGGCGGTGCATCTGCATCTCCAATGTTGTACGCGGCCTCTCCTTCGTACCTGGCAATGACACTGAGATGTCCCGGCATCCGGGCCTGGTGCTGATCCTAGGCCGGCTGGTGCTGCTGCACCATGAACACCTTGAAAGGAAAAGGCCTTTGCCAATTCGCCGCGATGGAGACAGGGATGGCGAAGAGGAGGACCACGGTCTGGCCTGCAGCAGAGATGAGTGGCGTTGGGATTGCCTTGCCACACTGCGGGAGAACACCATGGTGACCCTGGCAAACATTGCCGGCCAGCTGGATCTGTCACCCTACCCAGAAAGCATCTGTTTGCCTCTCCTGGATGGTCTCCTGCACTGGATGGTGTGCCCCTCGGCGGAGTCCCGGGACCCGTTTCCAATGGCAGGGCCTTACTCTGCACTCACCCCACAGCGGCTTGTACTGGAGTGCCTGTGCAAGCTGAGTGTTCAGGATGGCAACGTGGACCTCCTGCTGGCCACGCCACCCATGAGCCGGCAGCAGCGGCTCTACACAGCTCTGGTGCGCCACGTGGGTGAGCGCCGCAGCCAGGTGTGCCGCGAGATGGCAGTGGCTGTTCTGTCCAACCTGGCCCGTGGCGACCCTACAGCAGCTCGGGCTATAGCCCTGCAGCGGGGCGGCGTAGGCAGCCTGATTGGATTTTTGGAGGACGGTGTGGCCGTGGCGCAGTACCAGCACGGTCCCCACGGGCCGCCGCACCCCGAGCCGCCTAGCGTCAGCATGATGTGCCGGGCTGCCAAGGCGCTGCTGGCCATGGCTGAGGTGGAGGAGAACCGGTCCGAGTTTGTGCTGTATGAGGGTCGGCTGCTCGACATCACCGTGTCCTCAGTGCTGAACGCCGCTGTCTCCAGCATCCTGTGCCAAGTGTTATTCAAAATCGGCCGCTTTTGACTGGCACCTTGACAGCCCACCGGCGCCTCTAAGAGCAAATGCCACATGCAATCGCTGGTATTATATTTTTATTTAAGGGAAAAAAATTACATAAAAATGTTTTATATATGTATAAATAAATCTATAAATATATATAAATAGCTCCCCAGCCCGATTCACGGTTTAATTTTGGAATTTTTAAAATAATTTTAATACAGATATTTAATACTTGCTGTGGTATGTGTTTTTAATATTTTTCCTGTCTTTTTTTTTTATAATTTGATTTCAACCGGAGTTGATAAATGCTCCTTTTCGTTGTCTCTTATATGTATGTCTCTTGTTTATATAATTGTTCTGAATCAGTTTGCTTTCAATTATTAATAATTTAAATTGTGATAAATATTGTGGATGGTTCTTCTGCCACATTATTGAGAAGAAAAATGATTTTACTCGTATAAATATACCCATGTTTAAGAAAGGCTTGTGCAATAGGAATCACGGCAGGTCAGCATGGTAACAGGCTGGCTGTCAGTTAAGTGTGTGTTTGTTCCTCCCTATACCATGCAACACAAAATCAGTGTTGCATCTGCCTATCAGTCAAAGAAAAAAAAAATACTCCCTTCTCCACTCCTGGAACAGTCTCTTTAGTACTTGTATTACGTTTATTTTGTATTCGCCAGTGGGCTGAGATGTAAATAGATCTTGTACATTGAACAAACGTACCCTTGTTTTATTCTTTGTATTTTGTTGTTTTTAGTTACCTGCATCTTTTTTTCCAGGTGATATGACTACAAAGTGACAGTAGTTGTTAATTCTAAATATTATTTGCTGTTACTGTTAATTTTATTTAGTCTATTTCATTGTTTGGGTTCACATTCTAAAACAAGGGAGGGCAGAGTCGTATCCTGTGTTCTTCACACAGCTGTGTACCGCTTTGTGAGCCCCATGTGGGACTTGTTTCATTTTGGGGAATAATATATAAGGTTATAAAAGACAGACATCTATCCTATCCATTTTTAATTCCCCGCATCTGATGCGGAAGAGGAAAACTATCCTGGGATGATGACAGAAACTAATTAAAACTGAACAGGACAAAAAAAAAAACCTACACCGATATCTGTTAAGACTGGCATCTTCTTTTCACTCATCCACACATTTATTCAATACAAAATCTTTATACTATATGTTCCACATGTCAAAAAAATAAATGTACATTAAACCTTGTTAAGCACTGTGTAGGATGTGTTTGTTGCTCTAAGTTAACCTGGAATGATATCATGCTCAGGCTGTATGTAGACCGAGTGATGAAAAGGTAACTACTGGTCAAGAATGTGCATAAACCAATAGCACTAGCTCCATCCCAGTCACATGGCTTAGCATGTGAACAGATATGTCCAGAAACCAGTGAAGTCTAGCACATCTGACTAATCATGTGACTTAGAAGTACATGAATTTTGCATGACTTCACAAGAGTTTGCACGCTGCACCCTGAAATCACTAAGCAGAGGTTTGTAATGGTTACTGTATACTACATACAAACTGTCTGGGAGTAGCTTCACGTACACCTGAATGAACCTATTGTTTGATTTATGTGTAGAAGGAATGGTGGAAAATATATATCCAGTGGTATATTTTGGGTTGTTTCTCAGACGAGTGTGACCTCAGCGTGAAGGTGTGCTTCAGTGATTAGCAGAGATCTGTCATCTGGAGCCTGAGCTCCCAGTTGGGGCCATTTTTGGCAAACAGGTTGGTGGGGAGAAGCCAGACAAAACACTGCATGAAAAATACCTATACCTATACCTATGCCCTGCCCAGAATTGGGCAACCGGGAGGCGGACCTGGGGATGGTGCTCACCAGTGTGGAGAAATCAGTATAAAACAGTGACCGGTGATGGTGTCACCTCCCATAATCCTCTTCAGGTATAAAGCAATCTCATTCCTTTGTTCATTTCAGATTACCTTTGTCAAGAATGTATATTTAACACAATGCAAACCCAGGGGAATTAAACACTTAGAATGTCACAGGCAACAATGCTCACAAAATACAATAAAATCTGTTTATTTCAGCAGCAACTTATATTAAATATTTCAACAAATATTAAAGCCGAGTGTGACTTTTTCAAACACAGCTACAGTGAGCAGGAATAGATGCAAATATACTTTTAAAGGAAAGTGTCCATCCATCACTTGATGTGCTGAGCCTGTCCACCTGATCAAAAGTATCCCAAAGCAAGGTCTTGGACATAAAGTCTATTTGAGTTTCTTTCTAACAACAAAAATCCCAAACTGCCAACCAGAAAATGCCACAGGTTTGGAGGGCTGACTGGATGAAATGACGTTGGCAATGTAATTGCCAACCCTGCACCTCTAATAACACAAACTTTAAGGGAGGAAATCTGATCCCCAGGTAGTCCAGTGTGTAGCGTCCATCCATCCTGTTACTTTGACTTGGAGAAAGACTCCCAGTTCATAGGGTTTGTGTTGACTTGTGTTTCTGTTTTGGGGATCGTTGGAAAGATTGACTGCATCTTCTGTTTGAACTCTGCTAGCTGTGTAGACAAGAACAAGGATGTCTGTTACACACGGACCCACAAACTTCATTTCACCAGTTTTGTGCTGCTGACTTCCCCCCCCCCCCATCCATCCTGGCGTTGAGACGGCCACTCACGCTGTGGACGCCCAGGGCCTTCCAGACAGCAAAGCTGAGGAGGCCCACCCCACAGCAGGCATACAGCGAGCCCCAGCCCAGTGCCCGGAGGGCCAGTGATGCCCCACTCTCCGGTACTGCCGCTGTGCCTGCCACGCCCTGGGGACAGAGAAGGTAAGAGGCATGGCTTTTGGAACCATCCTGACTTAGGGCTGGTGGATATGATGATATACAGCTGTGGCCAAAAGTTTTAAGAATGAGACAAATATTAATTTTCACAAAGTCTGCTGCCTCAGTTTTTATGATAGCAATTTGCCTATACTCCAGAATGTTATGAAGAGTGATCAATTAATTGCAAAGTCCCTCTTTGCCATGAAAATTATATTAATCCGAAAAAAACCCATTTCCATTGCATTTCAGCCCAGCCACAAAAGGACCTACTGACATCATTTCAGTGATTCTTTCATTAACATAGGTGGGAGTGTTGATGAGGACAAGGCTGGAGATCACTCTGTCATGCTGATTGAGTTAGAATAGCAGACTGAAGACTTTAAAATGAGGGTGGCACTTGAAATCATTGTTCTTCCTCTGTTAACCATGGTTCCTGAAACGTATGCCGTCATCATTGCTTTGCACACAAAGGGCTTCACAGGCAAGGATATTGCTGCTAATTCAACATAAATTTATCGGATCATCAAGAACTTCAAGGAGAAAGGTTCAAGTGTTGTGAAGAAGGCTTCATGGCGTTCAAGAAAGTCCAGCAAGCTCCTGGACCGTCTCCTAAAGTTGATTCAGCTGCAGGATCGGGGCACCACCAGTGCAGAGCTGACTCAGGAATGGCAGCAGGCAGGTGTGAGAGCATCTGCAAGCACAGAGAGGCGAAGACTTTTGGAGGATGGCCTGGTGTCAAGAAGGGCAGCAACGAAGCCCCTTTTCTTCAAGAAAAACATCAGAAACAGACTGATATTCTGCAAAAGGTACAGGGATTGGACTGCTGAGGAATGGGGTCAGTTTCTCTGATGAATCCCCTTTCAGGTTGTTTGGGGCATCTGGAAAAAGGGATTTTCCGGAGAAGAAAAGGTGAGAGCTACCATCAGTCCTGTGTCATGCCAACAGTAAAGAATCCTGAGACCATTCATGTGTGGGTTTGCTTCTCAGCCATGGGAGTGGGCTCACTCACAGCATGAATAAAGAATGGTACCAAAACATCCTTCGAGTGCAACTTCTCCCAACCATCCAAGAACAGTTTGGTGACGAACAATGCCTTTTCCAGCATGATGGAACTCCGTGCCATAAGTCAAAAGTGATAACTAAGTGGCTCAGGGAACAAAACATCGACACTTTGGGTCCATGGCCAGGAAACTCCCCAGACCTTAATCCCATTGAGAACGTGTGGTCAATCCTCAAGAGGCGGGTGGACAATCAAAAACCCACAAATTCTGATAAACTCCAAGCATTGATTATGCAAGAATGGGCTGCCATCAGTCAGTGTTTGGCCCAGAAGTTGATTGACAGCATGCCAGGGTGAATTGCAGAGGTCTTGAAAAAGAAGGGTCAACACTGCAAATACTGACTCTTTGCATGAACTTAATGTAATTGTCAATAAAAGCCTTTGGCACTTATGAAATACTTATGAAATAATGGTGCTGTGTCCAAGACAGATGGGCTATTGAAGTTATATGGTGTACATTGTCAATTATTAATAAATCTGTATAAAGCACATAATGTGAAAGTTACATGGTGTACATTGTCCCCCATATTTTACTGCTTAAAGCACACTTCACTGGAAATGTCTGTATCGTTTAGGTTTATACTGATTAGTCCAGCTGTCTTATTTACAATTACTGGCGGTGAATGGACACCATGCAATTATTAATAAATTCATATAAAGCACATAATGAGTTACATGTTGTACATTGTCCCCTGTAGTTTAATGCATAAAATACATTTGTGAATAGTTTAGGTTTATACATATTAGTCCATTAATCCTATCTTTTGTACTTTAAATGGACACAGTAGTTATTAGTAAGAGAAACGTATTGTGAGGTTAAATGGACACAGTACAGTTATTAGTAACAGAAAAGTATATTAAGAGGGAACACAAAACTATTTCAAAAAAATTCTTTCCCACCCACCATATAACGCAGCTGATCTTTAGAGAAAAAAAAATCACAAATACATTGCAATCCATAAATATGTATTTTTGTGTTGTTGAGCAATTTGTACACCTGAAATGGATTTTGCTCCTTTTTATTTGTGGATTTTTGTTCAATTCCTATTGTAGCTGATCTGTAGAATAAATATATGGTGCAGCCTTGATATATATTGTTATCGACATATGAGATATAGGGATATGAGATTTTGGTCATATCGCACAGCCTCATCCTGACTCATTCCTCCAAAACAGGGCTCTTCAAATCTGGACCTCCATAACAAATCCAGGCCATGTTTTCAGTTCTTCCAGGTAGTTAGTTTAATAAGTACCAATTCTGGTTGCGCAGAGGCTTCACACCAGGCTCACAGGTGAAGAAAGGCTGGACAAATCAGCAGGGCTGGGCCCTTGAGAGTCATCATTTGAATAGTCCTGCTCTAAAATAAATGATAAGACAATATCCTAGAGGGAAATTCTTTGTAAAGAGTTGATATCCCTCAATGCACAATGGATCAGCAACCTATCGTCTTAACTGCTTGGCCACCTTGTCAAGCAATGGAAATACACTAGATAAACATTCCATCCATCAACCTTCCATACTCACTTGGTTTATGCAGGGTCATTGGGGTCTGGAGTCTATCCTGGAAGCAATGGGCACAAGGCAGGGAATGACCCAGGACGGGGTGCTGACCCAGTTTACTGTATGTATTGGTGTCAATATCATTAATGTAAATTAGGAACAATAGTGGTCCTAAAATTGAACCCTGTGGTACCCCACTATGAACGCAGGCCCACTGTGACATTGTGCCTCTAATAACTACTCAGTATTTCCTGTTAGTTAACCAGTTTTCGATCCAAGCTGCCACAGTTCCTAAAATCCCTGCAGCTTTGAGCTTTAGCAAGAGCCGTTTGTGGGGGCCAACATCAAAGGCCTTCTGGAAATCTAAGTAGATCACATCGTAGGCCTTTTTGTGATCAATTTCACTTGTAGCTTCCACAAAGAACTCAAGTACATTCGTTAAACAGGATCTACCTCTCCTAAATCCATGTTAACTATCCCTCACACCTACCTCCAGACATGTAGAGCCAGGGTAGTGACCCTATATTCTATGGCATTTCCTCCTTAAATTTAGCTTATACGTTTAGACTGCCAGCACCCACTGAACAGCTATAAAACATATATTTAATTTTTTAAACACTACTGTAAGCAGCCCTAACTTGAATACCATATTGATCGATTAAAACTCTCTGGTTAGACAACATCCACAGGCTTCATGTAAGAGTGGCGGGCAGCAGGTACCGTGGTGTTTAAGCATGTAGGCTAGCTGGTTCATATCACAGGACCAGCCTTGTTCTAGTACCCATTCAGCAAGGTACCAAACATCTGTCCATACAAAACCACAGACATAAAAAGTTTTTCTGGAAAGCAGGAACAACTCCTGTAACTACTTTACCCAAATAATCAGATTACTGTCCGAGTGGGACACTGATTAGATTTGCTGCAAGTTGACCATCACTGCCTCTGCCTGAGGGTTTTTTTGGCTTTGAAAAAAATTCAGGTTATTATCTTCAAACAGTTAAGACTTAAACAGCCTCCACTGCAGATCAACTCCTTAGGGAAATTATTTGAAGTGCTTATTTTGTATTTGTTTTTCTGAATGTATGCAAAACAAAAGTGACGTCTTGTACAAAGATGCTTCACCTCAGGATCAGGCAATCGTCTTGATCTTGTGCACAAAGTTGCCTTTGTGAGCCAATGGGTGGCACTGACCTCACCGCAAAATACTCCCCCCATGAAATTCAATATGCTCACATTAAAGGCATCTTTGCCTCATTGAAGGTTTGCGACGTATAAATATAGATTTAGAAACAAAGACAGCACTGTGATGCCCATTAAACTCCGTTTTCAAAACAAAAATGATCCAGGAATTTACGCAATACTTGGTTTAAAATAAATTCAAACTTAGTCTCATGATAAAGTTCAAGTAAACATGGCGTGCAATAATTAATAGCAGCAAAAATGCGAAACTGACAAGCTATAGTTAACCCGATTAACCTAAATCAAAAAAAGTTATACAATGGACTATTAATTGGAGTGTAATAATGTACCTCTAAGAGATGAATACCTGTGGCCCAGGAAGAAACTTATCGCCCACCCTGAAAATCTTAATTAGACAAGTTTCCATCTTTATCTAAAGCAAAACAATCTGAATTGACAGAGGTTTAAATGACGGGGGTTTCATTCCCTTTTGAATACACGCACGCACGGACGGACTGACGGACAATAAACACGCTTCAAAAAAAGTATCGACGCAGCTGTATCACACCTCCCACAAAGTGCCGTGGGCCGCCAGAACGCAGAAATCGTTTTGGTGTTGAGTAACGCTGCTGATGTGCTGGTTTAATGAATTACAGCAAAAAAAAACATGTGGTTATACAGCCGTATAAGCATATGCATGTCATTCCAGCAGAACTGGGGGGAAAAGTACTTCCACACCTTGTTAAACCATTCCGGGCTTTTCTTCTTAGCGATCGCCAAGGTCGTACCGAAACCAGCGATCATGCCCGCCGTGGCCACGGTTGTCAGAAAAACGCCACCTGCAAGATATTACAGACGTTATTTCAATCGTATGATTTCTATAAAAAGCAGGCATTATATTGTTCCGCACTATAAAAACGATTACAACATCGTCAACGATTATCACCGCTTAACTATAATTTGTAATGTATGTGACACAAAAAAGAAATCCTTCAGCACATAGCAACGAAACCAAACATTCGCGATTATACATTCTTAACCTGGGAAAATTCACTCGCCTTTTAGCAAAAGTAACTTATTTTGTTCTTCATCTTCAACCATGATTAAGCACGCTTAAGGTATATTTTCCCGTGCAGTTCATATGCTTAAAGAACGGTCCTTCGCTTAAAACCTTCCGGATACTACAAAAGCAAAGGAGCAATAGTGACCTGTCGTGTATATTTTCTAAATAGTTCATTCATTAATTTATATCCATAATAGGCATTCCAAACACACGAAAAATCTGTGTAAATATATGTCACGAAAATGCGTGTAAATATATGACTCAAATTTTTATTTTAATAATATTAACTTAACCTAATTGGTACCACATATGTAATTGCGTTTTGGGTAACAGATCTATATATGTAAGATAGCATGCACATGAACAGAAGAGAAGAATGACCCATTTTTGTATGGTTATACAGGGATTGGTAGTAACTCAATTTCCCATGCTTCTGCGCGCCGAACACGCTTTAGAACTCAACCGTTAATGCAGCGAGCTGCAACAGCATGAAGGTGCTGAAGTCTCGCAGAGCCTGCTTCGTGTATTTTCTTCCAAGCAATTAAGACAATGGCGTTTACGTTTTGATGTTGCAGCTTTGTCAACGGCTGCTACACGGAACCGTTGTATTTAGTAATTATACTATCCACTTTTCAGCATTATAACGTTTTTTCTTCTTAGCTGTATTTTTTTTGTGTGGTGAGTGTGTGTCGGGGATTGTGTGTGTTTTTTTTTCTTTTTTCAAAGCGATTTAATTGGCTTTGATAACTAAAGAATCCGGGATGTTGCCCTACTTTGCATGAAGATTTTTCCTCCCATATCGATGGACGAATTGTTCCTCTCCGTTCAAATGTTGCGCTTGTTTTTCGCAGCTGCCCGTAATAAGCCTGGGTAACGGATCTGGATAAAGGATAAACAGCTAGTGATTTCCTTTGACAAACAGAAGAGGAGGAAGCATCTTTCTGGGTGGATTTTCTGGTTTTCCTGTAACCCGATTGCAGTCCGGTGGCTTCTTTTGGTCGGATACTTAACTTTACGCGCCAGTCGTTTTGGTTGCGCCTGTAACTGGTCGAAGCTCCGAGGAGCCGACCGCTGGCGTGCTTACGACTCACTTCGTATCTCACATTCCTGCATTATTTATTAATATTATATTTTTAAATATATAACGGATGCATGTTCGTTGATCCCACACCTTTTTCGACAAGATAGGACCTCGTTCACATGGAAAGTTTGACAGATATTGCAATTCAAGATATAAGGACGTGTAAGCCGGAGATAATTTAAATATCTTCAAGGCGAAGTGTTTAGAAACATTTCCGCCATACTTCTGTAAGGTTATATTTTGGGTAGTTATCCATCACTCACAAAGGAACTTAAGACACGGGTTCCTGCAAACGATCACATTGAATAAGTTGTACTGTTTTAGTGGCGAACATTGAGATCGTGGGTTGATGGATCCTGGGATGACAGAGTGTCAGTACAGTCAGATCAGCACGGTCGCCTCATCGCCCATGGAGAGCCAGCTTGGGAAGAAGATCCCCAAAAGGAAGTGGCAAACTTTTCCGGGCAGGAATAAGTTTTACTGCAATGGAAGGATCATGATGGGTAGACAAACCGGTGTCTTCTACCTTACATTGGTACTTATCGTGGTCACCAGCGGGCTCTTCTTTGCTTTTGAGTGAGTTACTTTTTAATCGTAATACATCCTTATAAAAGCTTCTTGTGTCCCTCTATGTTATGTACTGTTTTATATGTACTTCTATGCAATCGAATAAGGTAATGTTGTAACTTGGTGAATATTAATATCGTAATACTAAATCACAATAAACCGGCATGTAGATGGACCAAATTTTATTGTCTGACGTATAATGTCGTTCAAGCATTTTAAAGGAATAGTACATTAGGCAATTATGACATGGAACAATGAACGTCACTAAGCAGTTGCTGCACTGGTGTCCCATACAAAAGCAAGAATGATTTATTGTGTGGCAGCTCAGTGGCTATAGCATTGTCACATCACACCTCCATGGATGGGGGCTTAAATCCTTCACCCACTCTGTGTGTGTGTGTGTGTGTGTAATATTTATATCTTTTATAGGCAGCTTTGTTACCTTTTCTGAGCGATTTACCGCTCCCACATGTGGTGTTTGTTCTTGTCTCTCAGTATTGACCAGTCTTGAGTACGGCTCATAGTGTGATAAGAACAAAATCAATGGATAGATGTTTACTTTTGTCCTTGGGGTCCTATTGCCAAGGCTCTGGATTTTTTTTTATTTCTTTGCTGGGAAACTAGTATTAAATGTATTCAGTGAGAAATAATAAAACTAGCTAAAATGAGTCTACACATTTTAGTCTCAGTATTGTACAAAATGTAACAAAAAAAAATGTACCAATCTTATGGTGATCACTCTCACACACTAGGGCTCCGCTGTAGCTTTTAACCTTAGAACACCAAGGCACTGTTTAATGTAGAAACATGCTCAGGCAAAAAAGATGGGAAAGGTGTGGAACATGGCATGGTGTCTTTCAGGCACAGTTTCTCCTATGCTGGTCCTTGTTGTTGAATTTTAGTTACCTGAAGACACTTCCGTAGATTCCAAGTGGCAGCATGTCCTTGGTGTTCACACATTTGTTTTTGTTTGTAAGGTTGACTTACTCCTTGTAAACTTTTAATTAGCCTGACTGTAACTAGCAGCAAGTGACAGTCACCTGCATTCCACAAAGACCCGCCCCAGCTCTACCTTTGATTGGCTATTGGTTGTTGTTTGATTACACTTGTCAGATGGTTGGTTAGATAGGCTTAGACAAGCATTTACCTACCAGTGTGGTGTAGGGCTGGACAATAATTCGATATCAATATATATCGCGATATAATTTTTTTCAATAACGGTGATACGATTTTTAAACACATTTCCGATATTTCAATATACATATATACTGTATCATATAATATACAATATCGATATCGGAATTATATCGTATCGACCAAAATTAAGAAATATATCGTGATATAAATTTTTGCCATATCGTCCAGTCCTAGTGTGGTGGATAGTCTTCTGGGATTTACTTGCCGAACAGAAAATCTACCCACACTTGGTGCCTGGCTGGTGTTAATTTCGGACCCTGCTCGAAGGCCTTGTTAATATGAGTAACAGTCACTCGTCTCTCCTCTCCATATACCAGGCTGCCTTGTGCCCCGTGTGTTAGTGAAATGGTGGGTTACTCTTTGACTGGCCTTCTTACTTTAATACTTTTAGAAGGCCTTTGCTGCTATTGATTTCAGCTGCTAGAGTTTGACTCTCCCAAAAGCCATAAGTCATCTGCTGTGGAGATTGTTTTAAGTTAAGGTCAGCTAACTAATGGACCACAGCAGGGTTCCCTCAACCATGAAGCTGCATTTTACCCAGAGTTGGTGCTGTGTGTAAAAGAACAGGGATATATGGGCTCCTCTGCTGCAGGATGGATAGATAAATGGATTATTTATTAGTTACACAACCAAGGCCAGTGGAGTATATTAGACTCTGCAGTGCAATGCATACATAGAACACAGCCGATGCACCATATCCTGATAGCTATGGGGGAAAAGCGATTTGTGAAACGTTTAGTCTTGGTGGGCAGTGACCTGTTGGGGATGAACTCAGCAGCTGCTTGGGAAGGTCAGCTAGTCTGTATGTAGATGCTCACACATGTTACTGATCACAAGTAGACCTAGTTCTTGTGTGCTGTTGTGTTCTGGTATTTGTGATCTGTGATGTTAATATTCTTTTACGGGGCACAGCTCTGTGGTCTATGAGGGGCTCAGGGTGTAAATTTCTATTCTGCATACTGGTGAGACAGTGGCTATTCAGTCAGGAGCCTGGATGCCAGGCAGCATTGGGCACAAGGCAGGGCTACACCCTGGACGGGATGCCAATACATGACAGGTCACACACACACACATGTCTTTGGACTACGTGGGGAAGCTTGGGTACCCTGATTATTTCTAAAGTAAGATGTATTTTAGGTTGTAACATTCTGGTTTGCTATGAAAATGGATACTAGAAATGTTTGTTTTTTCATGAAATTTGCTTGCAAATATATACAGTCCTCTAGGGGTTTTGTCTATCTTACATGTCTTCTATTGCTTGAGTTGTAGAATGACATCCTTTGAGGGATTTTCTCCCTTTTTTTACTGCTTGTGGCGTCTTTGCATGCAGACGTAAGACACAAGATGCATGACCGCACAAATCACACGGACACCCGCACCCGTGAATCAAAGTCGTGGTTTGATATTTACCCACTAAGCTTTTGGTGGTGACAGAATGTTGTCTTACTCCTCTGGGGAAAAATATTTGTGAAAAGATCGCAATGAGTTCACAACACAGCCAGAAACCTTGGGAGAGGAAATCATTTCAAGTCCATGTTTGTTCAAGGAGTGATGTATCCACACTATCCTTGGAAGGTGGAGAGGTTTGAGTCCTCTGTGTGTTTCTGGGTGTTTTTAGAAGGCATCCTGAAAGGCATGGTCATATCCTACTTTGGCGGCCGTTTCCCAGGATGACCCAAAAGCGCTAGCATATTGTACAACGATGTTTCATTTCTAAGCCATGTGACACTCAGAAAATGGGTCTGCTTTGCTGATGGAGATCACCCTTGAGTGAGCTTGGGGTTGGAGTAAACCTGACACACCAGGAGGAAATTATGCTCTATTCTGGGATTGTTCTGTTTGTTTGTACAAACGTCATTTAATCTTTTAGGTGGCATATTGTCTAATGTAGCTATTTAGAGTGAGACTTTAAAGAAAACAGCTCTGCTTTATGCCATCGGTCGTGGTGTCCATTAGTCCTCTCAGCAAATATTTGTAGTCCAGGCAACTGGCTTCAATGCTAATCATACATATATACATATATTTCTGTGGTTGATGAGATATGGCCTACCTATCCAGACTAATTGGTCCGAACTTGCGGTCTCTAATTTTAACCTCCGCTCCTTTCCTGAGAATCCTTAGATTTCTTTCTAATAATTGTCATTGGGGTATAGCTAAAGTTTTCATATCTCTGCCTGGTGATATAGATGGATGATGAAGAGTTTTTCGTTTAACTGGCCAGGGCAGGTGGAAGCTTTTGATCTTTTGAATGTTACAGACTACAAATGCCTTAAGGCCAGTGATGCATAATTTGCATGAATGAAGATAAGCCTGATCCTGAGGTACTAAGTACTGCCGTTTTTGCTGGTCTTCAGTTAAACTGTGACCATATTGAGTGTTTCATGATCATTAGAAAATCTTCCCTAAACCAAAGGTTGAACACCCTGGATATATTCAATGATAGAATCACTCAGGGTTGGGTCAAACCCTATAATAGATGTGGCTCATCTGCCCTGTACTAGAAGTTGTCCAGGCATAGAGGATGCTTAGGTTTAGAGAAATACCATAAATGGCCACTCATGCGCTCCTAAATAACAAATTGAGTACAGTGCCTAATGGATGCAAGAATGCTTAATCCAAAGGACTTTATGACGGAACCCTTTAAGATGTTGCGTAAACATGTTAATTAGCCACAAGTGATGCACCGATTTAGTAGTAAATACCGCTAAACAAAGTGCAAACAGCAATGACTGATCTGAGTCTCTAACTTGCGCTATTCTGTGTACTCTTTATAGCTTGTGATACACAAGTGGCTGCTATCGCAACAAAGTGTAAGTGACACTCTTTTGAGTGGGAGAAATATTGTGGAGCATTTTAAGCATTCGCCACTTGCGTATTCTCTCTTGGACGATATTCAAATTGAACTGCAAAATGCCTCAGAAACACTTAAAACAAGATGTACAAGTGAGGTGGGACAATAGTACGATATGAATGTTTCTAGTAGTGTAATTGAAGATTTTTTGGCATACTTTTTCTTTGTAGATTTATTAGTTTATATATATAAGGTGTGTACGTATATCTAATTTAAATATTAAAGTGGTGGTGCTTTTCTTCTAAATTTTGACTATACGAGTGAGGCACGCCGACTGAGGCCGAGCATGGGAAACAATTACCCACAATCCCACAGTGAGAGAGAGAGAACCATCAGCTCAGTTGTGATCACGTGACGCTCAGCAGACAAAGCGTATATACGTAATACTCATATTGCAAGACCACGCTCGTTTATCAAGTTAAAATTTATTTTTAAATTTTGCTCGTCTTGCAAAACACTCCCAAACCAAGTTACTTGTAATCCGAGGTTTGACTCTATATAAAATCAAACGACTAAGTCAGAAATTAAGTGTGAATGCTAGAGATCCTAAAACAGAAGGGTGTGTCCCTAGAGCAGGGGTGTCAGACTGCAGTCCTGGGGGGCCGCAGCCCTGTGTAGCTTAGTTCTTTCCCTGTTCCACCACAAATGATTCAGCTCAACAGCTGTGTGGTAATTAGCACAAGAAGTTGAATCAGGTGTGTTAAACGAGGGGAAACCCAAAAATGTGCAAGGCTCCGGCCCCCCAGGACTGGATTTGGGCACCTGTGCCCTAGATTGTCAAACTGATATTTAGGACTGGGCGGTATATCGATACATTTACAAAATGAGATATAGAATGACACAATACTGTTTATGTCAATATACTTTTATTGTGTGTTAAAATTGAGGCTCTATTAAGGATTAATAAAGATCAGTAGTGCTCCTGCCTGGTTGTAAACAACGTGAGAGCTTTGGTCGTGATGTTGTACAGAATCGCAGATTTCACAGTTAGTCATATAGCTCGGTGCATTCAGGTAGCATCTCACGGAGAGGCAAGGTGAGAAATCATTGTTACTTGATTGATTTCATTTTAAAACATTGCTAAATGGCTCACGTTAAAAATATCATAAATTATAATATGTTTTATTTAGTTGACTGGATTTTTCCAGTTATTAAGCTGTGGTTAAGTAGATGCCTGGCTTCTATTTTTTGAACTGTTTAAGTTTTAAATTGTTTATGAACAAAAGTATCTAAATTAACTTTCACCTTCTGTTTTGAAACCAGTGTCATCAACTGAGGAAAAAAAAGAATCTGTTGGTGGATATACTAGAGTGAAATGCTTTTATGACATTACTGCTTTATTTGACCCATGCAACACAGATATACACATAATTTATTTTTGTCTTTATTTTGAGACTTCTGTTTGGAATAAAGAAAATGCTTATACTGAATAGTTGTTGTATGTTTGCATATAGGGAAACCTAGTATTTGCATTTCATCTTGATCACGCATTGTTTTAATTAATGTTTGCTATAAATCATTTATTGGTATTCTGGCTAAAAATGTTTTTACAACATGTGCAGTCCATTTTGCCCAGCTCTGATGATTCTTGAGTACTGTTGACCTGTGGTACAGAGGTCCTTTACACAGGAAGTAGATGGCCTTCAAACAGGAAGTAGGCGGCCTTCAAATAGGAAGTAGGCGGCCTTCAAATAGGAAGTAGGCGGCCTTCAAAGGGGCATTTTGTGGAGTATTTGCTTCCCAGTGGAGCCTAGTAGTGTTATTTGTCAAAGGCACATATCTGTTCTTTTTTTACAGGAATCGCTAAAGTTGCTACCTGTTATGATCCATTCTGTTTTGGAATAATGCTGCTGTTATTTCAGAATATAAATAAACACAATCCTGTCCCAGTGTGTATGAAATCAACATGACTTTATAGGTTTATCTTGAGGCTGTCTTGATGTTACATCTATAACTCTAATGTCTGTTTTGTTTCATTTTCTAAACAAGTCCCTCCGGGTCCTCTTGTGATTTTCCTCCTTTTTGGGTTATGAATTAAGTTGTCTTGGAGGATGCTTGGGGCAGAGGTTGGAATTTCTACTAGGAATTCCCTTTCTTTGCTTCTTCTTTCCAAAGAATCATTCATTGCCTTAGCAAGTAAGATTAAACATTGAGAAATAAAAATCTTATGGCATTCCTCTCTCCAACGTTTAGAAGTTGCCCTACATATTTCCATAGCAGCAGTTCCCTTCATTTCTATCACCTAATCTCTTGTATCTCCATAGCAACCAAGAGAGACTTCTTTTTTGTCTGTGTGTAATGTGTACACTGTGTGGGTTGGAAACGAGGGAGCCATAGCTGTGTGTACAGCCAGTGCTGCAGAACAAATCAACACCAACAAACCTTTAAAAGCTGACAATCAGCTCCACTGATTAAACAAAAATGCTAAGTTTCATATGCTGAGCATTTAATGATCAATTTGCACACGGACACCGACAGGTTTCATGGTGTTCATGTGTGCTCACCTGTGTGTGTGTGTGTGTGTGTGTGTGTGTGTGTGTGTGCATGTGTCTGTGCGCGCGCATCGGGGCGGAACTCCGCAATGCGTGATACAGAGAGCAGAGGAGAATTGTAAAGGCGCGACCGTGTAGAGACAAAAATGACAAGCTGTTGCGTAAATAAGATAAATAACATAAGGCTATTTAGTTTGTTTAATAAAAGGACAATGTATAGACCTGTTCTATAGGAAAGGTGACCTTAAATGACTTCTGTTGTGATCTAGCGCTATATAGAAAATAAAATTAAATAAAATTAACTTGACCTTGAGGGGGGGGCGGGATGCCCCCCTAATATAATGCTAAGGGAAACACTGTTATTGATTTAGCCTGTTTGGTCCTATGCTGACAAGTGTATGAAAAAATGAATACACTTGCATGTCTTTACTTGGGGACAATTTTGGGCAGAATCCAAGAAAAAATACATTTGTCAGAGTAGTTTGAGTCAAAGACGCCAAGTAGACGCAATGTCTTCATCTGTTCAGCTGCTGTGACTCAGCTGGCCCCAGGGTTGTTACTTGGGAAGTTCGCTTTTACAAGCTTTGTTTGCTGACCTGGGGGGTATTCCATGAAAGTAGCTAAAGAAAGCCAGACTTTCCCGAAAAAGTCTGACTCAAACTAGCGCCATCTCTAAACTTAGCCTCATGTCGTTGCACGAACTCAGTTCAGCTTTAATTAATCAAGGCTCATACAAGACAGACGTGCATAGTCTCACTTAGTGCGCACACCCACGATATTTAAGAAGCCCAAATGAATGGATGAACGATAGATCGACCAAATGAGTCGGAAAACGTGTAAAACGAGAGCGGTGTTTTTTTTTTCCGCCGCAGAGCAAGTGCTGCTGATGGAGTTGTATGAAAAATGCCAAGATGTAATCGCTAAAAAAAGGCAATGTTGTGTCCATAAATACAGCCAGGGAGTTGGCTTGGCAATGAATTGCAGACAGACTAAATGCGGAAGTTACGTAAATGTTATAAGTGCTTAATACAGCGGCATGATATTCACATAAATCATATAGACACCAATATATACAGTAAACTGGTGAAATTTGCGGATGACACCAAGGTGGGTGGTGTAGCAGATACTGAACTAGCGGCTCAGCAGCTACAGCGGGATCTTAATTTAATTAGTGACTGGGCCGATACCTGGCAGATGAAAGGTACTCCATGTAGGGAGCAGAAATATAAAGTACAGGTATTTTATGGGACCTACTGAAATAAAGGTAGCTGATTATGAGAAAGACCTTGGTGTGTATGTTGATGCTTCCATGTCTCATTCTCGCCAGTGCGGGGAAGCAATAAAAAAGGCCAATAGGATGTTGGGGTATATCTCCAGGTGTGTGGAGTTTGTCAAGGGAGGTAATGCTAAGATTATACAATTCCTTGGTGAGACCTCACCTAGAATATTGTGTGCAGGTTTGGTCACCATATCTTAAAAAGGACATTGCGGCCTTAGAAAAGGTGCAGCGTAGGGCCACAAGAATGATTCCTGGTCTTAGAGGAATGTCATACGAGGAAAGGTTAGTTGAGCTAAATCTGTGCAGCCTCAAGCAAAGGAGACTGAGGGGGGACATGATCCAGGTCTATAAGATTCTAACAGGTTTGGATGCTGTTCAACCGAATAGTTACTTCAGCATTAGTCCAAATGCTGGACACCCACAGATTACCAAGTAATAGTTGATGAACATTGGGAACGCCAGTGTGACCCTCACGGAAGTGCCCGCCCCCCCCTTCTGTGTAACGTTGTAGCTCTGCATTTCGAGAACAAACAACACACTTGATTGTGTGCTTTGTGCGAATCTGAAAATTAGTCATTTGTTGTGTGTTTTCAGAGCGACGATGGTCATCATCCAGCAAAAGTGGTGCGAGATGAGGCTTGGTAATCTGTGGGTGTCTATAGGATATTCACCGTGGTGTGGGGCGTGTATTTATTCTGATGTGTCCTGTAGGTGATTTCTAACCACTTACAGCAACACGGAGGACTGCAGTAGTAAGAGAGCAGGCAGCTAACTGTGCCTCATGGGGATGATGCTTTTAGGAGTAGTGGGAGCCAAAAGGAGAAAATAATGTGCTCTTACGAGATGCTGGATTGAATTAGTTATCTGGAACGTAGGTGGGGCTCCCAGAATCCCTTTCTCTGTGGAGTGTGTCTTCATGAAAGCTAAAGGAGAACTCCCGATTTACTTGTTTGAATGGCTAGTTAGCAACGAATGATCTTTTTGGTATAATTTAGTGCTCATAAGGACAATTCTGCACATTGAAAGTGAATTATTATTTTGAGAACTCATAATACTCAATTTATCAATATTAGGCTAATACTGTACAGAATTAAATAGCACAGATGTGAAGGTAAGTCAGCCGTGGGACAGAGGTGAGTTTGAGAAGTGGCAGTAGGGGATTGTGAGTTGGCTGAACACCCACGTCTGCCGCTTGCTCATGTACGCATGTTGTCTGGTGCTCCTGTAGTGTGTTATTGGCTGTTTTTTTAAATGGGGGGGAATGGGCCATGTGACCGCCATGCCCCTGCTCTCTCGCCCTGTGCAGCTGTCCCTTCCTGGCCTACAGCCTGAGTCCTGCCATCCCGGCTATAGGTGCTTTCCTCTTCCTCTTCGTCATGGGCATGCTGTTAAGGGCCAGCTTCAGCGACCCCGGTGTGCTGCCCCGCGCCACCCCCGACGAGGCCGCCCACCTGGAGTGCCAGATCGCTGACGGTGAGACCCTCTTGCAACAGTGGCTAGGGATTTGCAGCTGTACCCATCTGGGGTCAGGTAAACCTGCTTCAGTGTTGCGATTTGCGGGGAAACATTTTGGTATGAATAGTAAAGCTGTTTACAGTGTTGGGGAAGCTGCTTTTAAACAGCAGCTTATCAAGCTACAAGCCACTTATTAAAAGTAGCTAAGCTACTGTTTTAATATTGTAGTTAGCTACANTGTTGGGGAAGCTGCTTTTAAACAGCAGCTTATCAAGCTACAAGCCACTTATTAAAAGTAGCTAAGCTACTGTTTTAATATTGTAGTTAGCTACACTACATGCTACAGAGGAAACATAGCTCACTACATCGAAGCTATTTCATCCAGTAATACTTAATATTTGTGCTGTGGGATACTCTTAAAGCAAATAAAAAAATGTGAAACATGATGTTAACAGTAATATGAAAATCTAATTTTTTTCCACTGTAATGAAAGTTTGATAAGACTCCAAAAACGTTTGTTTGGTATAAACCAAAGAGTACTTCACAATTACTGTGTGAAAAATAGATGGGTTATAACAAAAAAGATAGATTTTGATAATTTGTCCAAGAACCAAAGTGCTCCTGTACATTTTGATGAAACTGTCTAAAATTTCCTTGCCGTGAAGTATTTTTGAACCTTTTAACATCCATCCCCAGAGTATTCAAGCAAAAAACACCAATCAGAAACACCCAGTAGTTGAAAATACCCATCTTTGTAAAGAGAGAAAAGTAATTCAGGTCGTTATTGAACTATTATTTAGAAGGACATTATAAAACAAAAAACGACTAGTAAGATATCTGCAGATCTGCTCAACACTCGTCCCACTTTGTTTTCAGCTTTGTTTGAAAGATCTGTGGTAACCAGTGTTTAGCTGATAAAAACAGGTGAAGGGTTTCACTACCTTAAGCCATCAATGTTAGCAGTAGGGGTTAACAATGTCTGAGTATCTCTGACTCACAACAGAATCCCAGGAATTACACCAGTTACCCCAGTCATTCTGTCTTCGCCCAGTGTCCTGTGAGATGACCATATGAATCTTACTGTTTGTGTTTAGTGTAAATGCTTAACCAGAGATACACACAGTACTTGTACGTACTTGCATGTTTATTGCCAAATCCATTTTTGTGAATTGTCAGTCATATGTAGTCTCCGGATTACTAGCGAGATCGCTTCCTTTTTAATTTTTTAAAGAATTTGTAGCTGAACAGTGTTAAAGGCACCATGATCCGACATAAAATGGCAGATGACATTCTCCTTCTTCACGATGACAAACTGCCAAAGCATTGTGATGTTGTTATGAGCATCACAAAGTAGTGTGTGTGTTCGTTATCACGGACCATTGTATTTATCCCGAATTCTTAACATAATAGGCTTTCTGGCAGTCCTTTCATAAGTAGGAGTTGTCCGTAAGTCAGGTGTTCTCAACCTAGGGACTTACTGTATCCATCTTCTAATGATTTAACAGTTCAAGGAAGCAGAGAAAGTGAGGATTGTAGGCACATTGTAGGGACAGGGAAAACCATGTTCAGGATGCCAGGCCATTACCAGAGGCACACAGTCACTCGCACCCACAAAATCACTCACTGTCAGATATT